TAGACACCAATCCAATGAAGCAGATATGGATGAATATGAGTTAAAATAAAACTGGAACTAGCAAGCACAGTATACTAATATTTTGTTCCATAACAAACATGGTCAACATTTTTGTGGCTCATTAAACTATTTGCCATAAGTCCCTATCTGGTTCTCAAAGAATGCTCAAGATGAAATCAATGGGAGTTTTTCCCATTGACTTTTTCAGAGAGGTGAGATTTTCCCAGAATCCCTGAGTTAGACTCAAACTTTAAAGCCAGAAAGGTCCACCATGATAATTCAGTCTGACCTCATGTATGTTGCAGGCTACAGAACCTCACTGACCCAACTCCAATAATAGCCTTATAACCTCTGGATGAGTTACTAAAGTCCTCAAATCATTATTTAAAGCAAGTTACAGAGAATCCACCATTTACAGTGGTTTAAATCTGCAAAAGCCTGTGCTTCACGGTGGAATAGAAGGCAAAAACCCCCAAGGTCTCTGCCAAGCTGATGTGCTGAAGAATTACGTCCCAAATCCAAATTTGATAAGTCAACTAGATTTTGATCACAGGATAAGGGCTGATGCTAGCATTTTCTTCCAGGACTTCCTCTATCCTAGCTCCCTGTTACCACTGCATAGAGGAGTACTGGCATCTTTATATATTCAGGGTTGAGTTAAGAAACTACACTTTCCACAATGAATCAGCAGAATTTCAGCAGCTTTATGCAGCATGCCAACATCTTTGAAACAGGTGTGTCAATAGAAGAGCCTCTTACTATTTTAATTGCATGTCAAGGCCTTATAATATTGAGCCTAGAAATCTAGTACAGGGCAGCAAAATCTGTGATCATCTGAATGCTTTGACTCTGCTTCTCTGTCTCTCCCCCACACTCAGGGTGTGTCTAGACTACAGAGTTTTGTCAACAAAAGTGGACTTTTGTCGACAAAACTATACCTGCATCTACACTACCGCTGTGTTCTGTCGACATAACGTCGGCAGAACTCAGCAGTTTTGTCGACGCTGGTAAACCTCATTTTACGAGGCATAACACCTTTAGTCGACAGAGTTCTGTCGACAGAAGGTGTTATTGCATCTAGGGTTGTGTCTAGACTACAGGGTTTTGTCAACAAAGCAGCTTGCTTTGTCGACAGAACTGAATGTAGTCTAGACGCTCTTTGTCGACAGAAGCTTTGTCGACAGTATCTGTCGACAAAACTTCTGTCGACAAAAGCCTGTAGTCTAGACGTACTGTCAGTTTGAACATTTCCCTTGCAGACTCTTGCAGAAATTTCTCTTTCTACAGTGACTCTATTTCACCCACAGCCAGCTTGAGGTAATGGTGATAAATATAGATTTAGACTAGACAGAATATGCTTTGGCTTCTAGAAAGTCTTACTTTAGGTGATTGCTAATAGTTGATCAGATCTACAGAATTTAGGGATACAGTTCATTACAATTAATGGGAGCTGTGCATGAGATTTTCAGATGCAGTAAAGTGGTAAGAAGCACAAGTTATTGAATGTTAATGCTCCTAAACCAGTTTGCTATCTCTGAAAATTCCACCCTATATCTAAATATCCTCAGTGGCTCTGAAAACGTCATCTATAAAATGATATTCAAATATACTATTGCATTTCTGCACATCTCTCATTGAAGTACTAAATTTTGCTGCTTCTAGATGTCAGGCTTTACCCCATACAAAGCGAGAGAGAGAGAGAGAGAGAGAGTAAGTATGATTTAGGGCAGTGGTTCTCAAACTTGAGCAACTTGAGGCAGGGCCGACTTATCCAATAGGCACAGTGCCTAGGGCCCACGATACTTTTAGGGGCCCACGAAAATGTTTTAATTTATTTTAAAATCAGAAGAAAAAAAATGAAATTTTAGGGTCAAAGAAAATGTTTTAATTTTTTCTCACATCAGAAAAAAATGAATCTTTTAGGGCCCACGAAAATCTATTAAATTTTGCCTAAAACAGAAAAAAAATAAAATGTTGAAGTACTTAAAGTTATATCAAAAATAATTTTTAATATTGATATTATTATGGTAGAAGGGGCCCACAAAGGCAAAAGTGCCTAGGGCCCACAAAAGTCATAATGTGGCCCTGACTTGAGGATTCCCATTTTGTTTTTTGCAAATCTCCCCTCCCCACTGGCTTCTAATTTCGACTGGGGGAGGGGCCTCAGCCCCTGCTCAGCCTAAGGCCCTACTCCCACTCCACACCATCCCAAGGCCCCATCCCATCTTTTTTCCCACCTCCGCTTCAGCCCTTCTCAAGGTCCCACCACTATTCCATCCTGCCCTCCTTCTTCCCTGCCTCTTTCCACCTCCTACTGCAAGTGCTTTCTGTTCCCACTCCTACCCCTTCCTCCCAAAACTTACTTCATGCCGCTGAACATATTCTGCAGCATGCAGGAGGCACTGGGAGGGGAAGGAGGAGGAGGAATTGATCAGCGCAACCAGTGACCTCAGACATGACTTACAGTTTAAAACCACTGATTTAGGGCTCTTGTAAACAACAAATGAAGTGTGACTGAAGCACCCAGGGAGAGACATTTGCACTAGTTTCAATCTAGTTAACATGGGCATCAACAGTAGTGAAGATATGGCAACAAATTTCAGCATGGGCTCACTGCAGCAGTACAAGCCCACTGGTACGGACTCTGGTGCCACCACATCTTCACTGCTATTGTTACAGTGGCTAGCTAAATTAAAGGTTCTGTAGGCATGCCCACCGGAGCTGCAATCAGACCTTCATTCTGCTGTGAAGAGCAGAATGGGGATCAGTATTCTGCCCTGTTCATAGGCAGCAGCTGACTTACATGACTTCAAAGTGGTAAGGGGTGAAGAGGAGTGATCCAACAATTAACACAAGAAAAAAAAAGCAACAAACAAACAGAGAGGGCATGGGGCTGGCAGTGCCTAATATACCAACACATGAGTGCAGCCTCAAGGGGGAAACGCAGCCGGCCCCATGGACACTGCTAAGACAAAAATCTCCAATGACACGTTGGCACATGCAAACCTATAATGGAATTGATATGAGCAAATAAATGAAGAATATAAAGTTTTAGTCTGATTATTTTCTTTACATCTTATCCTAATTATATATAGATATATGTGAAACACTTTCATAATGATGAATTAGTACCATCACAATCATGTAATAACGAAATTTCTAATGGTTTGAGCAGGGGGATGGGAGTAAGAACTACTGGGTACAATTCCAGCCTGCTATAAGGACTCTCAGATTCTCTTCTCAATTGTGTCATTGGCTTGCTTTGTGACCTTGAGGAAGTCACTTCCTCTCTGCCTGTGCTTCCCCTTCTATACAATGGGAATAATAACAATTTATCTTCTTAGGAACATAAGGAGGCTTTAATGATGTTTGTAAAGCACGTTGAGATATACAGATTTCACTATAAGTAGAAGTCTTTCCATGGCAACAGACTGGTATTCAGGATTATGACTTCATTTCAGGATCAAGCAGAAAAGATTGTGTGGGATAGAAATCTCATTCCAATATAAATGCTTAAAAATTGGAGGAAATACAATGAAAAGGGATTAGTTATGTAAACAGCTTTTTAAAGAAAACACTATTTTCCACACATTTTCCTCCTGTGAAATTCTTGCTGCCAATACATATATTTATTATTATTATTTTATTATTATTATTATTGTATTTATTAGGTTCAAATGCATGTTCTTACTTCAGCAATCATGTAAACTTTCCCATGCACATAAAACTGCTGTGAAACAGCATAATAAGTTAAGGTGTTACCTCAGTGGCATTCCTACTGTGGAATAATCAGCCACTTGTATCATAGCTACACTTAATTCACCATATAACAAAAACTGAATGCTCAAAACAGCTCCATGTTTTACTATTTCTTTAAGGCAGAATTTCCTGTTTTAATAGCTATTTAAAAAACAGGCTATCTGAATAAAAAATTACAACTCTGGTTTTCTGTCTTTCAGATATAAAAAGTTCTGATGAATCCATTCAGGCCGTATTTTCACTATGGGGAAGATCGACACTGTCGCAATCTATCTTCCAGAGTTAGATTTAGTGGATCTAGTAAACTGAACATTGAGGGAGCCCCCCATCGGGGCTTTTACTCCTGCTCCTTGTGAGGAATAAGAGAAGCCAACATTTGCTCCCATTGGCCTCCCACTGTGGAGACTGTGCTGAAACTCAAATTAAGGGATATCAACTCCAGCTATGTAATTAATATAGCTGGAGTTGCGTATCGTAATTCAACCTTTCCCTTTAGTGTAGACCTTATCTCAGAGAAGCAGTAATGAGAATGCCCTCCAACATACTCATTGTACTTGCTTGCAAAAGGCTATGAATATGTTTTTAAAATCTGGATGTCTTCTCAAGCAGAGCAACACGTTCCAAATATTTAATCTGTCAATATGATCTAATATACAAACAAAACCTATTAAGCTCTATACCAACTGCACAAATTACTAATCCTTTCAAATGTTCTGATCTTAGATACATGCATACACTTCTACCCTTGAACTACAAAAGCTGGATTATATAGCCAGGGGATTTAAAGACAATTGTTCTTTAAATCTAATCAGAAATTAATTAGGCAATGTTTAAAAAAATTAGTAGAGCCAAAAATTAACTCAATGATAATAATGGGGGGGACTATGAAGCATTCATAGAACTTAAATTTCATGATTCTTGCAAGAACGGGGCATCGTTCATGAAAACCCAGCAATGTTCATTGGCAGTCACCCTGCCTATAAGTATTTTCAAATTTTGGATTCTGAGAAATGTTGATTATAATAAAACATTCAGCAGAGCAATACACAATTTTCCCTAGGGCAAATGAAATAAAACTATTTCAAGTTATCACGAGGCTCTAGTTTTTCCTCAGACAGCCTGTTTTCCCCCAAACATAAAAGGAAACTACTTGAAAATATTTTCTACAAGTTTATAGTATTTGAATTGAAAAAAACATTTCTGTGTTAATAAAAGACTTCTTAACCTGTTTTTAAATACAGGCATCATGGTGAGTAAGGAATCCAGCAAATGCTTACTCACAACCACTGAAAGTGAAGTTGAGCCAGCAGCTTCACTTGCTTTGGAGATGAAATATGCATTGGATCCCAACCGACAGATTAAGAAAAGAAACAAAGCCCTTCAGGTGAGATTTAAAGATATCTGCGAGGCCCAGAATGAACAAAGGGAGAAACAACTATCTACAATACAGCATGCAGACAAAAAAGAAACAAAACCCATCTCTTATAAAGCAGCTTATCGTAAATATATGACGGTCCCTGCACGAAGGTCAATACCTAATGTCACTAAGAGCACAGGAGTTCAGACCTCACCAGATCTTAAAAAGTGTTACCAGACATTTCCTTTGGATCGCAAAAAAGGGAATATTATTAAAAGCATCTCAGCTGTTGACACCTTTAAGAGTGAAAACAATGGATTTTTAATAGATATTAAGGATAAAGATAATAAAAACTCAGGGGAGGCTGCTCATAGTAGCAAAATCAGTGACCTAAAGACAGCAGAGTTTATTTCCCATACTAATGAACGCATGAATGCAGTAGAACAGCCTTCTAGTGACAACTGTTCAGAGGCATGTAGAAGCACTGATTTGCACAGCTGTACTAAAGAACCTCCTTCTCTTCAAAACTCAGCAGACTCTACTTCAGAAGAGCCTGATTACCAGCTGCATGATAACGCAAAACATGATACAGGACCACTGGATATTGAGGAATCTAATCAATCAGCACATGGGAAAGTGTTTAAGACGGAAGTAGCTACAATTTATTTACCTGCTTCCAGTTCACATGCCACACAGCCTGACCTGCAAAACTCTGCAGCAGAGACTGAGTGGTCACTCTGCCCAGCAATAGAGGAGGAAAAAAGGAGAACTGTGCATCTTAATGGTCTGCAATCCCAATCAGTGAATGCTCAGGCCTACTCAACACAGGCACAGTGCCCATCAGCCGAATGTAATGAACAGACCCTTCAGATAAATGTTTCACCTATGGAAGAAAACCAGCCTTGTCAGACAGCAGTTGCTGTGAGTGAAGAATGCCAACAAATTGTGCCTCGTACAGAAGTGGTAGACTTGAAAGCACAGCTTCAGATGATGGAGAATTTGATCAGCTCAAGCCAGGAAACCATAAAAGTGCTGTTGGGTGTCATTCAGGAGCTAGAAAAAGGAGAAGCTCATAGAGAAGGGTAAGTATAAACTAAAATATTTTAAAAAGATTTCTTAATATGTACTGTCATTTAAATTTGTTAATTTAATCTACACAAGGAGCATAAACCTTAAGTAGATTCCAGTACTGAACCAGTTTCATATTGCTAACATATACTGAATGTTTTTGCTTTGGAAATATGTCCTAGATTAACTTCTTAAAATATAAGTTATTTAAATTCCGTAGGCTGAATATTTACTTGATTCATATATGTATATGTATATGTATTTTTGTGAAGGAATTGAATCTATTAGTGTGAGGATTAGTGCCTGAAATGACACGGAAGCTATTTCACTTTTCCAAATATGCACATAACAAAATACCTTTTAGAATATGAATTATTCAGTATGCTTTTTATATCAACAACTTGTATGAACAATAATTCTCTGTTTGGCATTAAAATTAGAAGAAAGACCTCATTCTATAATAGATTTATCTTTTAAGAGTAAGGGATATTAATACAACTGAACAATCTCATTAACTTTACAATCTTGATTGTTTTATTCTTTAAACTTAAGAGTTTTTAATACTATATATATTACTTCAGATATTTAATATAAATGAAATATTTGAATAGCCAGTCTTCTGCACAATGCTGTTACTGTCCAAAATATGCAAAAAATGTCATTACGACCAAAAGGAAAATAATTTGTACTTATTTATGTTTTCTTCCAGAAACTTACAAATTTTCTAAAAGAAGTACTGCATGAATGGTACAGGTGTTAGTTATTTAACCAAATGCAGATAATTTAGTCTTTATCTGATCATTGCAATCCTGATGTGCTTTTGGCCTCCCATATACATTATCTTCATTTAACACTATAAGGATTCATGGTCATTTGCTAGTTTCTACTCAATGACTGCATTTTAGAAACACTTTTCTAACAATTGCTCACTCATTTTTAACACTATTATAATATATAAAGTTTGGAGTACACTGTATTTGTCCTCATCAGCAAAACAGGAACAAGACACTTTAATTTGTTCATTCTAAAGAATGTTCAGTCCTTAAATCTCGAAATAGAATGTTTATAAATAATTTACATGTCAAGTCATGTATTGGGGAAAACTGGCTTTATTTTAATTTGTACTTACAGATTAACGTTATAGTACATTCAGGATAGACTAATAGTGTTTAGTCTTTCAGACCAAGCATTTACTCTCTCAAGCAACAGCTGAAATAACGAACTCAAAGATACACTTTTTATTTAAAGGGCAACTCCTCTGACCACCTACAATTCTGCCCTATATTCCTCCTCAAACTGATGATTCCATTCAATACACCCAGTATTAAGATTCCATCCATTCCAACAGCACTGATGAATTGCCTTCCCAAAACCACAACTCCTATTATAATCAGTAAATGATCCGTTATAAAGTTTTGCAACATGACAAAGTCCTTATCCTGCTTTTCCTCTCATTGATAACAATGAAAGTCTTCTTTCAAAATAATAACAAATCCTATCAATATTAGCATTGAAAGATACAAGATGGATGAAGATGGATATTTTGTTGAGCAACTTCTGGTGGTGTAAGAGACAAGCTTTCGAGATAAACAGAGCTCTGTGTAGCTCAAATGTTTATCTCTTCCACCAACCAAAGATGGTCCCATACAATATATTACCTCACCCACCTTGTTTCTCTTGTATCCTAGAATCCATACACATACAATAAGATTCCAAATAATATTAGTATTGGCTGTTACTCCCATCTTCCCCATATCTTGCAAACTGATCAAGAGAGTAAGGCCTTTTTTCATTCTGATCACTAATATACGAGATATTAGAATTCCATTTTCTACTGTGTTTTTTTCCCCCCTGACATACCCCACCACTTCCAGCACCCCTTATCTGGGCTCAAATTGTTTAAAATAGGTGAACTGCAACAGGTTCAAACAGTATGCACTTGCAAGCCAGGAATAATGTAATACTTCTGGACAATTGAACCACTTGATACCTGGACTATTGTGAAAGTTCCATTAGCAATTACATTTTAAAACCCCTTGGTATGGGCTTTTATGCTGGCCATAACATATGAATATAAGATCACATACATCTTGTCAGTCTGAATTCACTCCCTTTTGTTGATCAATAATTGATATTTTACTATCAATTATAAGATACAAAATGGTCTTCATTTTTAAAGATTGGGGTTTCTTAATCTAACATGAGGACTGTTAACTAATGATGTTTGTCATTATTTATAATAGCTGAAGAGTTTAGTTTTGAAAAAAGGCCTGCTGTGTTTATATTCTTTCCTAATATAATGGTATATTAAGGAGTTATAAAACAAATCTGTTGCAGTATAAAATATAACTGGACACAGACCACAGAATGTGGCATCTTTATGGTAAGATTACCTCTTCAGTGTAATATTTATTAGGATGGCAAGATGGAATGTAGGGCTGCTTTAAGCTACACCAGATGGCAATAGACTTTGTGTGCACCAGGCACACATTCTCTTGGCATATCTTGATGGATTTGGGGTGCCCAGGACACTCAGTCACCTTGTTACCCCCCCTCCCCCGCCTCAGCAAGAGAGTGACTCGTGTGGGCTTAACTGGAAGTCACCTCTAAGATGGTGGGGGTTGGGGATAATAGGCACTCACATAAGACGAAGCCCCACATATTGGGACCGTCCTTATAAAAATCACTCTGCTCAGCTCCCTGATATCACCGGTTTGTTACTTTACCACACAGGTAACAATAAGTATACTCTAGCCCTAGAGTGTCTCTGACCATATCTCCTGTAATTGTTGGTTGTCTCTTGGGAGCCAAGGAAGACATGTTGTGCATTTCATTTGTGGAAATGCATGTGGATCCGGAGCCCAAAGGTCAAAGCATACAGATAGGGCATGGGACGCCGGTTGTCAGGACAGGAGAGAATGCAGCTCTATGTCATCTTCCACGGGCCAATGCGAGGCGTGGGCGGCGATCATCCTCAAACTTTGTCACTGCTTTCCTTGTAAGGGAACGCCTATTAGTCCTGTCTGCAGCAGCTATTTCAAATTGTGAAGGCTGAAGGCCTGTCCACTGTGAGTTGGTCTTCAGGTTATCCTTATATCTCTTCCTCCGGCGTCACTGTTTGCGACTACCACATACCAGCTCCTCGTAGAACAGCTGCCTCGGGATCCTGCTTTCATCCATGCGGAGAACATGGCCAGACCATCGAAGCTGGGTCTGGAGGATCTTGGCTTCGATGCTTGTGGAACTAGCTCTATCAAGCACTTCTTGGTTAGTAATTCGGTCCTGCCAGCGTACTTGCATGATTGATTGTAGGGAGCGCATGTGAAACTGCTCCATCCGCTTGATGTGCCTATGATACAGGCCATGTTTCACAGCCATACAGGAGAGAGGTGAGGACCATGGTATTATATATACACTTTGAGTTTAGTTGAAAGGCGAATATCTTTATGATGGAGAACTTTAATACGCAATCTCCCAAGTGCCCGACTGGCTTTCTGGATCCTCACTGTAATCTCTTTGTCAATGGACCCATCACTTGTTATCGTGCTGTCCAGGTACATTAAGCTGTCCGCTATCTTCACTTGTGTGCCATCGACAGTGATGCATGGCTGTGGAGGAGAACTATTTGGTGCAGTTCTGGAAGAGGACTTCTGTCTTTCCGAGGCTAATTGCAAGACCAAATAGTTTGGATGCTTCAGAGAACCTGTCAGTGATGGTCTGCAGGTGGTTCTCTTGGTGTGTCATAAGGGCGCAGTCATCAGCAAACAGTGCTTCGGTGATAAGCCTCTCCAGTGTCTTGGTCTTTGCAGTAAGGCGTCTCAAATCAAACAGTGAACCATCCAAACGGCATCTGACTGTCCTTATAAAAATCACCCTGCTCAGCTCCCTGATATCACCAGTTTGTTACTTTGCCACACAGGTAACAATAAATGTACTCTAGCCCCAGAGTGTTTCTGACCATATCTCCTGTAGTATCCAGCTACTATCACTAGACACTGACAGAAGTTACCATGTTTGCTGTCCCTAAGGGAATAGCTTATCTACATCCTGTCTGAAACATTTCAGAGTCAGCACCTTTATAACATTATAGCCTTGAGATAAGTATTTAAGAAATACTAAGTAAGGAAAATAGAAACATGAATGATCACATATAAAACAAATGCTTCTTAAGAGTCCGAACTTAACTTTAACAGACTCTCACCTGAAACAATTTCCCAGCGTCCACCTTTCATGAATGCAAAAAGTGCTATCCATTTTGCTCCCTTGGTGATAGATAAAAATGTCCTTTTTGCCTTCATATAATTTTTCATTGTTTTGCCTGCAGAGTTGAAATATCCCTTGTGATTTAGTCTCCGGTGTCCTCCCTATGCCGTTTTCTCCATATGCAGATTAGCCTTCATTGTGTTGACTCACAATGCTTAATTTACATATCCAGTAGTGAGACAACTTCCTTTGTCTAACTCAAAGCCTGTTTGTCAGCCCTGCCTTTATTTAGATATCTATTTAGTACATATACACAGCTTCTTAAATATCATCTATACATACATCACACAATGGTTATGAAGATCAGTATGGTCCTGGATTAATTTAAAATCCCATGTACAATGTACAATGTACAATGTATACACAATGGTTATGAAGATCGGTATGGTCCTGGATTAATTTAAAATCCCAGATGACATTCTTTATAAATAGTATGTCAGCAATATGTTTGGTGTCATGAGTTTATATGGTGTTTCAGGGGAGACTGTTACAGAACCATGAACCCTCTCCCAGTTAGTATAAGTAGTTTTTAGGGTCCCATCCTTGCCTACTTAAAAGTCAGGGTGTTATGCAAAAGCTGGAATCATTACCTGACTGCCTATGCCAAGGAAATTCTCAGAATGCTAGCTCTTGCTACTTGCCAAACCAATTGCATTAAATGAGCTACACAAAGAGACTAAAAAAGAATCTGACCCTATGCTTGGAGTGTGTCCATGCTCCATTGATCAGATCCCATAGGACTGGCTGAAAG